TAATTCAAAGGCGTCAATTCTTCTTCTGCCATCCTTATTCATTTTCCAGCACTCAGAGGAATAGCAAGTGATTTAAAAAACCATGGCTTGAATCATACACTTTTTAGTCTTCAAACTAACATCACTACTTTGCAGTACTTTGGAGAGGACCCTGACTGCAGACTTGCCCATGCAATATGTCTCCTGGTCTTCTGACTGCAAGTACCAAGGGTATTATTGATTGTGACACAAACAGAAGGATTTTTTGGTGGTGTCATTCAGAGGACTAAGAAGTACAAGGAAGATAGTTAAAAGAGAAGTAATATGTACTTTATAAAGAGTTGGACAGTGAATAAGGATTACAGAAGAAGAACTACTTCTTCTAAGCTGTGGTGTTAGAGAACACTGACCATCCCTTGGACAGCCAAAAGAACAACGTAAATATGTCTTGCAGAGGGAGAAGCCAGAGAGCCCTTTGGAGGCAAAACAATGATGAGGCTTCTTCTCACATACTTTGGGCATGTTGCTAGGAGGGGCTATTCCTTTCAGAAGGATAGAGGATCAGCGAAGGAGAGAAGACCCTTGTCTAGGTGGACTGTGGTGGTGACTGCCACAATAGGCTTTTGTGTGTAAAGGAAGTATGAGCATGGCACAGGATAGAACAGGAGGGTTCAGATATTTTGTTCATAGGGTTGCACTATGACTTGTACGCAACTAGAAGGCACGTAAGAACAATAAAGAGTTGGACATATTATCAAGGTCAATTGCTATAATATACTGTACAAAGACATAAGAGCCAAATAGAGACTTTAAAACTTTCAAGAATTAATGTAGGTGCAACTACTGGTGTCTCTTCTCTCTATGGAGTAAAGAAGAGTGAAGAAAATAAAAGATGCATAGTAAAAATTAGTGCACAGAATAAAAGTCCTCATGAACCTCAACTTTTACAACTAGATCAGAACTAAAAGATGGTGCCCTGTGACCACTGCTGGCTGCTGTGAAATGAATTCAACAGAAGGTCCTGGGCAGAGCAAGAGATAAATGTAGAACAAAACTTAAAGAAATCACAGAAAAGTAACCCAGCTTCCTAATGGAATCCTGAAACTACTGGCCCTTGGCACCTGTTGAGCCTGGAACAGGACCTGTAGCACAACTTTCAAATAATAGATCTCTTGGTCACTTGGGAGCTCTGAGGGGCTAGTGGTAAGGAGTTGAGCTGCCAACCCAAAAGCACATGGTTTGATTCACCAGTTAGTTGCTCACGAGATGGGCAATCTCCTTCTATTCAATTTACAGCCGCTGAATATTTGCAAGAGAGCCAGCTATAAATTGGTTCCAACTCTACAGCACATAACAACAACAATGGTCAATAACATCAGGGAGGGTACTCAGCCCTTAAAATAATCAACAAAACATCACAAGGGCAGCATGTGCTGAAGGATATCACAAAGAAGGCAGGAAGCAAAAGGACAGAATGAACAGAAACAAGTACCACTGGGAGATGGCAAGAAGAGTTCTGATACAATGTAGAGATGGTGACCAATCATAAATATATACATAGTTGAATGGAATGCCAATCTGTTCTGAAAATGTACACAAATCACAATGTAAAATAAGGGAAAAAAGTAGGTGATCATGAAAAGAAATAGGAAGGATTATGGCTAGAGTTTAGACGCTGTTATCAACATGAAATATTTCAAGAGAGAAAAGACACAAATATTTACATGCCAAAAAGAATGAACTAGTAGGGAGGAATAACACAGAAGAGAGGCACAAGATGACCAATAAGGAGGAAACTTACCACACAGAAAGGTATGCTAAACTAAGATTTCAGCATTGAAAGAAGATCATTAGAATGACATTAAAAAATTTAGACTGCACAGAAAGGGATGCTAAACTAAGATTTCAGCATTGAAAGAAGATCATTAGAATGACTTTAAAAAATTTAGAACAAACCAACAAGGCTCTAGATACTGACAACTAGACTCTAGCCATAACTCATTATTTCATGATGACTCCTATTTGTAAAGATGTCAGATATAGACATTAAATGGAGAAAAAACTGACTGCTGTCGATGATTTTATTTTATACGGATTGGCAATCAACACCCACAGAAACAGCAGTGAAAAAATCAAAACTTACCACACCAGGCAAGTATGCTGCCAAGGACCAAATCTTTAAAGTGCTAAAGACCAAAGACATCTATTTAAAGACTAAGACAATAAGTAAGGAAAACCAAAGAAGAACTGATGCCTTTGAACTGTGTGCAATACTAGCAAAGAGTACTAAGAACCCAGAAGAACAGACACTGTCTTGGAGGAAGTTCCATCATAGTGCTCCTCACCAGCAAGGATGGTGAAACTGTTGTCAGGAGGGGCCATTCCTTGAAAAAGACATTATAGGAAAAGCAGAGGGTCAAAGGAGAAAACCCTCAATGAGATGGACAGACACGCAACAATGGATGGGAAGACGGTACAGCATCAGGAAGGTTTCAATCTGTTGCATAAGGTTGTGATGAGGTAGAGTCAACTCACCAACACCCAACAACAGACACAGCTATATTCATAGATACAAAGAAAGAAGATTAAAGTTAAGTGGTGGTAGTGTTCATTTTATTTTTTTTATTATTATGATGTGAAGCCAGAATTAGCAAAAAATGAGCAAAAAGAGTAAAGGGCGAGAGTGAGAGAAAGAAGCTGGTCTGAAGAAATGAAGAGGCGTTTACTGCATGGCCTAAAAGGGATGCCAAGTGACTGGACCACAGGCTGACCAGTCAAAATGGCAATGGTGCAGGGGCAGTCAAGGGCAGCCACGTTTTATGGGGGATTTAGGGAGGGCTAGGGAAGACGATTAAATTCTCAGAGTCAGCCACAGTTTGTTATGATCCACACAGTCAAATGCCTTTGCATAATCAATGAAACACAGATAGACATTCTTCTGGTATTCTCTGCTTTCAGCTAAGATCCATCTAACATGGGCTACAATATCCCTAGTACCACAACCCCTTCTAAACCCAGCCTGGACTTCTGGCAGTTCTCTGCTGATGTACCGTTGCAGTCGTTTTTGGATAATCTTCAGTAGAATCTTGCTTGCATGTGAAATCAGTGCTATTGTTCTGTAGTTTCCACACTCAGTTGGGTCACCCTTCTTTGGAATGGGAACAAATATAGATCTCTTCCAGTCAGTTGGCCAAGTGGTTGTTCTCCAGATTTCTTGGCACAGCAACGGTGTCTCTTTGGAGACGAAGGTGCGCCTGATACAGGCCATGGTCTTTGCAATCACTTGTTATGCATCAGAGAGCTGGACAATGACTAGGGAGGACAGAAGGAGAATTGACGTCTTTGAGCTGTGGTGCTAGAGAAGAGTATTGAATGTACCATGCACTGCCAAGAAAACAAACATATTCATCCTAGAGAGGGTTAAACCAGGCTACTCCTTGGAGGCAAGGATTCTGGGGCTTTGTCTGACATACTTTGGACATGTTGCAAGGAGAGACAGGTCTTTGGAGAGGGACATCATGCTGGGTAGAGTGGAGGGACAGCGCAGGAGGGGAAGACCCTCTATGAGGTGGACTGATTCAGTGACTGGGGTAATTGGGATGGGTGTGTCAGAGGCAGTGCGATTGGCACAGGATAGAGCAGGGTTTAGGGTTGTTGTACATAGGGTCGCTATGAGTCGCAAAGGCACATAACAACAACAACAGGGAAGACAGTCTTATCATGATTCATGTCCTGTTATAGATCTTATCAGGTTTCTCAAGGAGTGATCGGGGCCTGAGGGCAACTGTCACATTATTATTCCTCCATTAGGAAACTAGAAAAAGAATGAGAGAAGTTATCAATTTTATGGCTCCTGCTGGAAGTGCTGCTGTTGTAATTATTATACATGGTCAAGCTGGAACCAACTCATAGCTGACCCTCTGGGGGATATTCAGAAGCAGGAATCTGCATGGAATGAGATGAAACTGAACCTTTGGGTTGGCAGTTTAGCTCCTCATCACTAGGCCACCAGAACTCCCTCCTATTGGACAAAGAGGTGAGAACTAGCTAACATTTGGGGGGGGAAAAATTCCCCTCAAATTCATTGCTAACAAGTCAGAACAGATTAATAGTTGATCCTCCAAGAATTTTTAGAGGTTGTAACTCGCATGGTAGGCGAGTTTTCTCCCACAGAGACTGTGGGGCATGCGAACAGAGCACGTCTGGGTTGACAGCCCAACTCCTTTACCACTAGGCTACCAGAGTAAATGCAGTAACTCAATGTTCTTTTCCCATCCCAATTTAAAAAACTTAAAACAATGTATATAAACTTTGTCAGACAGAGTCGGATCAAGAGGGAAAGGAGGAAACTGGTGCCAAGAAATGACAGGCCTTTACTGCATGGTCTAAGATTTGACCACAAGTGATTTGACCACAGGAGCGCCAAAATGGTGCAAGCAGTTTCTTATAGGGATTGAAACAGGAGCGGTGTCCACTTCCTAAACAACATGTCTCCGGAAAAACTCGGTGAACTTTGATAAATGTTGATAGTTATAGAAAGGCTTCAGGCCTTTTGTTCACACTAAATGGCCCTTAAAAAAACAAATCAACAAAAGTCTATAACTAACAATTTCTTGCTAATCTTCATAAAACACAGGGTCACATTTCCTCTCAAAAAGTAAAAAAGTAAGATCTTACTGATTGTGAATTTTAAAAGACTACAAATTTTTAATTTTTTTTCCACATTTTTAAATTTTCATGTACTCAAAACTACAAAACTGCCAGGAAGAAAATTTTTGAAAATTGAATAGCTATTACTTAAAACAAGGTAACTTCCTCGTCTTAAACACACAAACAATTTGGGCTCTAGAAGTTCTGCATTGTTAGATGAGTCTGCATTTTCTGTTTTGAAATACCTTAAGCTTACCAGGCCTTGCAGCTGTGTCAAACTACTGCTTCTATAATTTTAGTAGTTGGTCATTACCTAATTTTTAAAAATCTTTAACTTGGACAATATTTAAAATATACAATCTAGAGCCCACCACGCCCCTCCGGCGTGGAACCCTGCGGGCCGAGGCAGAGCTCGGGTGGTCCTGCGCTCCCGCAGGCATGGTTGGCGCGAAGGTCGGCGGAGCGAGGATGGTGGTCACGGTGGACGTGAACCAGGTGTACAAGTACCCCTTCGAGCAGGTGGTTTCCAGCTTTCTCCGAAAGTATCCCATCCCCATGGAGAAAAATGTCATCTCTGTGAAAATAGTGGAAGAAAAAAGAGATATATCCACAGGAATCATCTATAGGAAAAGGATTGCAGTCTGTCAGAATGTGATTCCAGAAATTTTAAGGAAGGTGAGCATTTTAAAAATACCTAATATCCAGTTAGAAGAGGAATCGTGGCTCAATCCTCAGGAAAGAAGCATGGATATATAGAGTCACGGCCTTACATGGACACAGTACGTTTCCATTAAGGAAGAGTCAGTCTTCCGGGAAAGTGTGGAAAACCAAATTGCACAGAGTTTATTCAAAGAGGCAGGATTTCAATCACTGGGGATGGATTTCTCAACTGTATTTTGGAAACTTTTCAAAGCACGATCTTAAAACAAGGTGCCCAAAAGGGAACTGGAATAATGGAGATGCTGCTAAAAGAACAGTGTGGTGCCCCCTTAGCCAATAAAGAATCATCAGAGAGCAGTGCCTGGGCTTACATTCTCTCAAGAATAACCTCTTGGCCATAGCACATCAGAGATGCAGATTCTGAAATACAGATTTGATGATGCAACATCGGCAGCTTGAAGAAAAGGAGACTCTCCACAAGGGCATGAAATGATACCTCACCATTTTTTACGTGGAAGCCTGCTTTAAATGATGGGTCTCATGCTGGGAGAATGCCTAGTTGGATTTTCATGGCAGAGTGTCTAAATGATTTTACAAATAAAAGAAACCCCTTATCAAATATAAAAAATATATACAATCTAGGCAATACTGTGGAACTAATCAGTAAGTCGGATATACTA